TTATCTCTGGGCTTTCTATTCTGTTCCATTGATCTATATTTCTGTCTTTGTGCCAGTACCATACTGTCTTGATGACTGTGGCTTTGTAGTATAGTCTGAAGTCAGGCAGATTGATTCCTCCAGGAACTCTGCATTTAAATGGGTATATCTTTCCTTTTCTCCTTTGCTTTTTGCTTCTCTTCTTTTCACAGTTAAATTATTCATTTCCTAAATTGTTAATTATTTTTCATAAGTGTCTACGCCTTTCTCAAGGCTGCTGGACTCTCCCTTTCTGATGATGTTTAAGTCTTCTGTCTATTTTGTTTATTAACTCTGTTTCCTCAGAGGGGATGAGCTTCCAGTCTTAACTGGCACTCAGGTTAGTATTCCAGTTGAAAAGATCAGTTCTCTTGTCCGACCCATAGAGATTCTGATTCAGCAGTGTGTAGTAGGGCCTAGCAACTTGTAAAGCATCCTAAGTGATTCTAATGCATGGGCCACACTTTGAGTAACATTCTAATAGGCTGTTGTTCTAGAAATTATAGTTTACTTATCATCTCCAATATATGTTTTCTTCAGTATTGGAAAAAATTATTTTCTAATATTTTAATCGACTAAATGTCCCACAGCTTGAGGCATAGATTCCATTCCACCCACTACCCCCCAGTCCTGTGGTTTTCTTTTTTCATTTTTTACCTGTCTTCATTCCAATCTCATTCTGTTTGGACCCTACTCCTTCCCCCGCCTCGTCTCACTCACTATCTTTTTTTCTATTCCTACTGCCAGTTCTGAGATTGCTCACTCTACCTTATGTCTGTGAAATAATCCATAGATCATATACCCAAGAGAAATAAAAACATATGCCCATACAAAAAATTATACATGAATGTTTATAGTAGCATTATTCATTCTAGCCAAAACTGGAAACACTCAACTGACCATCAACTGATGAATGAATAAATAAACAAAATATGTTATTTTTGTACCATGGACTATTCAGCAATAACAAGTGATAAAATACTAATACATGCTGCAACATGGATGAAACTTGAAGCTGAGTAAAAGAAGCTACTCACAAAGGACCACATATTGTATGATTCCATTTCTATGAACTGTCTGGATTATACCAGTACATAGAGACAGATTGTAGATTATTGTTTGCCAGGGTCTGGGGGTGGGGTTGGGGAGGTTTTAGGGTAATAGAGAGCAACTGATAATATGTACAGGATTTCTTTTGAGAGTGATTAAAATATTCTAAAATTAGATTGTGGTGACAGTTATACAACTTGAGTATGCGAAAACAAATGAGTTTTGTATACTTTTAAAGAGTAATTTTTGTGGTATGTGAATATATATTAATAAAGCTGTTAAACAAATAAAAATAGATCATCTAGACAAAATTATTTATTTCCCCAGAACCCTACACTCGACTATCGAAATGCCAAGTAAACATGAATATAAAGTGAGTCTATTTGGTTGGCTCTTCCAGCAAATTTGTTATAGGTCTTATAACATAAAAATGTTTAAGCTTGAGACTTCCCTTATGGTCCACTGATTAATACTTCACCTTCCAATGCAGGGGGTGTGGGTTTGATCCCTGATTGGGAAGCTAAGATCCCACATGCCTCTCAGCCAAAGAACCAAAACATAAACCAGAAACAATCTTGTAACAAATTCAATAAAGACTTTAACAGTTGTCCATATCAAAGAATAAAAAACTTAAAAAAATATTTGTTTATGTGATTTTTCTTAAATCTTTTAAAACAGCTCCTGAAGTATTTAAGATAAACTTTATATTTCCAAATGGAGACAAGTATGGTAAGCATACATTTCAATTACTTTTTTCTATATAGATTAAAATTAAATAGCTTAAGAGTGCAAAACTGAGACTGTCACACTTGATAAAAGTACTGTTGACATATTGACTCCATTAAATAAAATCACACAGAAATACTAATGGAGAGAAAAAAAGATACTAATGGAGGAACAGATTTTAAATCTTAAACTCTAAAGTTCAGTATAGACAGTGTGCCTTGGAAACCTATGGGAGGGCCATAGCCATGTGTCAGTCTTCCAGGCCCTTGAGTCTCAATGATTTAAAGGTCCATGGAGCGCCTCATCTTGGTGCTAGGAAAGCAGGGAGACCCACTGTGATGCAGTTCTGATTAAGGTTGAACATACTTTAATACTTAGTCAAACAGGGTTCCAGTTTATAATCTTCAGTATTTCTCTCTCACTTAGATGGGGACTGTACAAGAACATCTTCTGGAGTCATTGAGAGAAATGGAATAGGTATTCATACCACTCCGAATGGGATTGTCTACACAGGAAGCTGGAAAAATGACAAGGTATTATTATTGTTTTGAATATTGACAGTGGATAAGTAACTCGGTTGGTTAAATGATTCCTGGCATTTCACCATTTCAAAAAACATGTATGAGTAGACCATGTAATAAAAATAACAAATTATTATATTAATATATATGAATATAAGGAATAGTATGAAACTCATTCAGAGAGCTAATTGTCATCATCTTTCTCATTTCCTATTCGTTGAACAAACTAAACTCATTACATAATTTTCTCATTTAATCCTCATAGCAGCCTAATGAGTTCGATACCATTCATATTGCTGTTTTACAATTGAGGGAAATTCGGCTCAGATTTCTTGCCCAGCTAGTAAGTGATGAAACAAAAATATGTTCTTGGGTCTGCTTGAATACAAATTTCTGTCCTTAACTTCTTTGTGCCATTTCTGGGCTAACTAAACTGGTTGGCCTTTAAGATTTTTGATATATTCAAGGTATCTTGAGGAGCCCTGTTGTTATCATTATGGACCTCCAAGATGTTCAAGTGCTCCAGCTCAGAAACACTGTGTCAGCTTCACAGAGACAGACATAGTAAGGACAATGATAAAAATGTTGTCTTATTTTTGTGGAAATAAAGGGTGATACAATGTTAGATTAAATAATAACTAAGTGGATGACAGACATATGTGTATACTTTTTAGAAATATACTAATGAAACTGAAGATTAGTTACTGAGGTCATTTCCTCTGTTACAAACAGATGAATGGTTTTGGAAAACTTGAGCATTTTTCAGGAGCAGTATATGAAGGACACTTTAAGGACAATATGTTTCATGGACTGGGAACTTATACATTCCCAACTGGGGCAAAGTACACTGGAAATTTCAATGAAAACAGGTGAGTTTAAAATAAAAAGTCACTGTAGTCTAAGAGATATTTCTCAGGCATATTTGCCTAAAAATTTAGTTAATGCTAAATTTCTTTTATAATGTATTTAGTTAAAATATACTTATATTTTAGAAGAATTGTTGGATTATCATTTTAGGGAAAAATGTTATGAGAGAGGCTAAGGCCATCATGAGCCTCCAAAACATATCATTCGTAGTGATAATCTATTAGATTTTTCATTTATTTCCTCTGACTTCTTTATTCCTATGGAACTTTTTGCAGTCATATTGGAAATGGAAAGTTTGTTGCAATTATTGAGAAAATTTAGGCCAAAAATTATTTTCGCTTGAAATATCTTGACAAGGTTTTTTTATAGTTTAAAATTTTATTTTATATTTTCTTCCAGTTTGAGATGTAATTCACATACAGCACTGTATCAATTCAAGGTATACAGCATAATGATTTGATTTACATATATCATGAAGTGATTACCACAATAAAATAATAAAAAAATATTTTTCTCTTGTGATGAGAACTAAGGATTTACTCTCTTAAGTTTTATATATAACATACAAAAGTGTTAATTATATTTATCATCTTATACATTACATTCCTAATACTTTATTTATCTTGTATCTGGAAGTTTTTACCATTTGACCACCTTCATCCAAATCTTCACCCCCGCCCTCACACATCTTTATAAACTTAATCCTCACACCAACTACTGTGTCATCCAGAGGTTTCATGTTCATTTATAACTACTCCCTTATTATTTCCAGAATTAAAAATGCAACCTAATTGTTATGAAGTGGTTGATACATATTGAGGCGGGAAGGAAAAGGTTCATCTATTCTATTGCCAAGTCTGTGATGACAACATAAAAACTTTTCCCACTGATATTAATAAAGGGAGAAAACTCTAACCCATGGGATAAAGGTCTGTTTGGTTCTGTGAAGCGCATTTTCACCACTCCAGAGTCCAGAAAACACTAGCATAGAGCATAGCATCTCACACATAGTTGAAGATCAATAAACATTTGTTGAATAAATGAACTAATTAAGTCAGATAACCAATATAAACTTTTCATTTTGTGACTGTTTTGGTTTTGTCTAAACTAAGCATATGTAATCCTAAAATCTTAAAATACATAAAAATTTGTATAATGACAATATTTGTTTGGAATAGTAGTTTTTTTTTTTTTGTAGGATATAAAAACAGGATGTCAGGTTTTAAATCAAAGTTTGAAAGCAGAATGATATAATTCTTCAGACATAGTATATAATATACTGGACAGTCTTATACCTGGACTGTAAATTTCTAGTCTTGTTAATGAACACACTTATTTTTACTGTTGCAGGGTGGAAGGCGAAGGACAATATACTGATATCCAAGGACTAGAATGGTGCGGTAACTTTCATTTCACAGCTGCTCCAGGCCTGAGGCTAAAGCTCCATATGTAGATAGCCTGCATTAAAGTTATAATGTGGTAATTGCAGCTTTTACTTGTAAGGAAAACAATCTGTCATCTGAAATAACTTCATACACTATCTAGTTACTTTTGCCAATAAAACCATCAGTCATTTACACCTTTTTGAACTTTCTTTTGATCATCTTATAATTAATTTAAAATATTTTATGTGGGGACTTCCCTGGTAGTCCAGTGGTTAAAACTCCGTGCTTCTACTGTAGGTGGCGCAGGTTTGATCCCTGGTCAGGGAACTAAGATAGTACATGCCAAAAAAAAGAAAAGAAAAAAAAAAAGAAATTATATGATTCAATTGAGAGTTTGTTTGTTCATTTTAATTTAAACTATGCAGATCTTGACAAAGTCAGTTTCCAATCCTGTACCTGAATTTTGTCATCTTTAAAAAGTATATCTATGTCTTAAAGGAAACTATCAAGGAATGAAAAGACAGTTCACAGAATGGGAGAAAATACTTGCAAATCATATATCTGATAAAGGTTTAGTTTTCAAAATATATACCGAACTCAGTATATAAATATACACAAATAAAAAGACAGCCCAATTTAAATACAGACAAAGGATTTGAATGGGCATTTTTTCAAAGAAGATATACAAATGTCTAATAAGCAAACAAAAAGATAATCAGCATCATTATTTTTTAGGGAAATTCAAAGCAAACCCACAATAAGATACCATTTCTCAATCACTAGTATAGCTATGTTAAAAACACATAATAATAAAGGTTGGTCTGGTGGGAATGAAAAATGGTACAGGACTGTGAAAAAGTTTCTCAAAAAGTTGATATATAATTATCATATGTTCCAGCAATTCCTAAGTATGCACGTTAAGAGAATTGACATGTATACAAATGTTTATAACAGCTTCATTCATATCAGCCCAATACTGAAAACCCAGGTGTCCCTCAACTGATAAATGGATAAATAAAATGTGACATATCTGTACAGTGGAATATTTTTCAGCCATAAAAAGGAATGAAGTACTGACATATGATATAGCATAAACCAGCCTTGAAAACATCATGCTAAGTGAAAGAAGCCAGTCACAAAAGGCCACATATAATACTTTTATGTGAAGTATCCAGAATAATTAAATTCATAGAGACAGGAAGTAAATTAGTAGTTGCAAGGGAGGGAGGAATTGGGAGGCATTGGGTTTCTCCTTGGGGTGATGCAAATGTTCTAGAATTAGTAGTTGTACAACTTGTAAATGCAAAAAACCCCTGAATTGTTCATATTAATATTAAAAGGGTAAATTTTATGTATGTTGTATGTAAGGAAGCCACCCCAAATGTGCCACCCCAAAATGTGTCTCTTTGGCATGAGTATTAATTTAGGGAGATTTATTTTTAAGAAACAAGTCTTAAAAGTCTTTCTTTTAAGTCCTAAAGTCTTTCTTTTCATCTGCCCCTTAACTGCCTAAAGAATTTAGATAAAGCATCTATTGCCAGAATAGAGGTATCACCAGAGATATCTGCAAAGGATTTAGGCTAGGTGTGGTGGAGGAAACTCAACAAGACCCAGACATTTAGAGTCCACTCTGTCTCATTGTCTCACCCTGGCCCAACAAACAGTTGTTTACCAAACATTTGCTTTTCCAACTTACTTGAATTGCCTTCCTTTGAAGTCCCAAACCATTACCCTCAACATCCAGTTTTGTCTTTAGCTGAAAGTGGTTTTTAAGGTCAGGGCTTTGACCATTTTAGTGAGCTATTCGGTATTCCCGATTCTCTCCCATGTTATTAAACTTTTGGTTTTCTCCTGTTAATCTATTTCATGTCAAATTTACTGTAATTCTTAGACCAGCCAGAGAATCCAGCAGGGTAGAGGAAAATGTATTTCTCCTTGACATAGATGAATTATATCTCATTTTTTTAAGAAGTAGATCAGTGTGGGCTCACATATTCTCTGCCTAGGAAGCGCCTTTACTTTGAGATAAAGTAATTTTAAAATTGCCAAAGCAGTACATGACAGCTACCTATTAAAAATTACAATAGGCTTTACTACTGGGAACCCCACTCAGTGTTCTGTGGTGACCTCGATGGAAGGCTCTCCAAAGGAGAGGGGCTGTATGGATAAGCAGAGCTAATTCACTTTGCTGTACTGCAGAAACTCGCATAACGTCGTAAAGCAACTGTACTCTACTAAAAATTTCAGCAAAGATGAGCGTTTTTGCTGAAACTATTTCTGTAAAACTGACTCCTCCAAAATGGTGTATGGAACAGATAACTGCTATAATATACTTCTTTCCTCAACTTCTTGTGAAAATTTGTATTTCCTCAATAACTCATTGCCCAACTCTTATTTTTAGTTGTACTATTATAAATTTGGGTTGAAATGTCTTTTAAAATGTTGAAATTAAATGGCATTTTTATAGAAATCACAATAACTTTGTATTTAATTTAAAAGACCCTATTTATAAGTATTCAAAAGATACATTTAAAAAATTAGACAATTTTGGATATGTTGCTTAGCATTAACTTGGTATGATTTTAGAGTTAAATATTTTTATTCATTGAAATTTGTAAGATGAATACTGGACAAGTTAAGATAAGCTGAGAGGATGTTTTCAGAGACCAGGACATACAATGCAAATTCAAAAGTTCTGGAAAATACAGAAAAATATCTGTTTTACTGCAAACTAAAATTTCCCTAATACTTTTCTTCAAATTATTTAAGGTAGCAAGATATATACTTTGCTTTTAAAAATGTTTAACTTTTAATGGTATAAGAGTAACTTTCAATGCTCAAGTCTCCAGTTTTCAAAGATACTAAAAGCATTCATCTTAAACAGTTTTCTTTCTTTTACTCTGTGAAACTAAAAGCAGTTCAGTTATTTGATTAGTTGATGCTAGAATTTGACCTGGAGCTTATATAATTAGAAGAGACACTAGTTTTCCTCATTTAAAAGCCTAGTTAGCATATGACAGTCTCGTTTCCGGGGAAGTCAAACCTCTACTGCTTCTTTTTATAACCTTTAAGTTAATTCAGAATCCAGATACGCCTTGATCTGATGATGATATAACCACGGCAAGCAACATGGGGTAAGTAGTGCTTTTATATGCTTTGAGAGGCATTGAGAGGGCAAATATTTTCATAAGAGAAGAAATCTCATAAATCTTTACTAACGTAGGTTCAAAATATGCTAACTTTATTTAAGGAAGTCATTTAAAGAAATTACTATTTATTCAAAGTTATAACAATTTGTAAAATAGTCATCTTCTTGCTTAATTTTTATATGATGTCACAATCTGCCTTTGCAGGTTGTCAACTAAAAAATGTTTGGACTGAAGAGTTTGCTTATTTACATATTTAGTTGAAGCTGACTTAAAATTTGAGAGCAATCTTAAAGAAAGGATGACTGACTGCCTATTTTACAAGGCAGCTAAATCCAATATGTATATGCCTCTTTAGGATTAAGAATGAAAAAGAAAAAAGATTAGAAATGGAGGGAGGTTAATTCATCCTTTGTAACATAGAAAAGGGATAGAGGATTCTCAGTGTTTACTCCTCTATGTGCAGAAAAATATGTGCTAATTAATTATGTAGGGACATTAGTGAAAATTCTAAAGCCTTTACAGGAGCTTGGGGAACATGATAAGAAAAATTAGGTTTCACTTGAAAGCTTTCTTAAGTGAGAATAGGAATCCCACTATAATTAGTTTTTTACATGCTGAAACAATAATATTCTGAAAAATATAGAAATTTGTCTTTGTATAAATTTTGTCTTTTTTATATCTCCTTTTAATACAAAATTATTGGCTGCAAATTGTGTAGCCATTTAAAGGCACTTCTGAAGGCTTTAGCATAAACAATCAGAATTTATATGAAAGAACTTTTTGGACATACTTTCTACTAAATAGTTTCCATGAATTGAATAAACATCTACATTTTTGCTAATACCATGGGCTCCAAAATTCAATCAAAACCTCAGAGGCTTTTGAAAGAAAGATGATCATACTATTGCTAACTTTTCATACAAATACAAAGGTTAATAGATAAGTGCCTTGTACGAATTTCACATACATTTGATTGATTTGGTTTGGGACAGAATTGATGAGACTCCTGAATTCTCTTTATTTCCCTTCTTTCCTCTCTCTCTTTCCTTCTCTCTTCCTCTGTCCTCTTTTATTTAATGAAGGGAGTTCACCTTTTTGAGGGTCAAGGATCACTCTAAGAATTTTTAGAAACCAGCCCACCCTCTCTGCAAAGAAATGTAAAATCACACAAATTTTGCATATAATTTCAGAAGACTTATAGATAGCCTGAAATACAATCTGTGGACACCCTGAGTTAAGGACCTTTGATTTTGAAATTTAAGACTAGAGTATGAGTTGCTCGACATTTTTCTTAGCTTCTGGGCTTTTATAAAATGTAAGAATCTTTTAAATGAATAATTCCTGCTAATCTTCCCTCAGGGACAATGTTGAAGATGTTGATTCTCCCACTGACTAGCTCCCAACACACACACACACACACACACACACACACACACAAACACCTTACATGAGAGTGAAACACAGTTTATTGGATATCTATAGTTTTGACAATCATATTACTGCTGCTTGTCCCCACTGACTTGATTAATCACTTCTGCTTTCGAGAGTGCTAGGAATCACCTTGGGAATCATGGAAGAAAAAAATCCTCATTATTTTATTTCATTTATTGCTCTCAGTGCCCCACATAAGATGAACTAAACCATAAATTGCAAAAGATTACACAGGACACGCTTCTGACTTGTAGGTTCATGGTTATTTTGTTATCGGCTCCTGCCCTTATTGAGAAAAGAGAGATTGGAAGGTTTTAGTACCAATTTCAATCTTCCTCAATAATCAGGAAAATAAAAAGAGAAAATAGCAGCTGATTAAATGCTCAAATGTGTCCATTCAAGGAGATCTCTAGAATGTATCTCCTTATAATGAAGAAGTAGCTATTTAGGATTTGGGGGAGGGGAGTGTTATTTATCTGAAAGCTATTAGAGAATACAATGCCCTTATATGGGTCTATGTTAGCCTTTTCCATTTTAGGGGAGCTATGCTGGCATGGTTTTAGTGAGCAATGAAGAGGCAAATAGTAGGAAATTCTTATACTGTTTAGAAAACC